TGTCCCAAAATCACCAGCAACTAATTGAGCAAAATTGAATCCCGAACACGACGGGGTAAAATTGTCCAAATTTTATAGCAACACCCAAAACTGAAAATGAACACCACCACAGGTTTGTCTCGTCGTCGGGAGGAAACTACCTGAAGAGATCGTCGCCAAAGGTAGACCCACGTGCCACGCTAGTGTCCACAAGCAGGCTGCTATGCGCCACCGATCCGATAACGCGCAACCCATCCTGGTGTGCCTCGGCTTGCTGAACACGCACGGTGGTCTTGATTTGTTCAAAGGTAAGTAATTTCACTGAAAATGACAAAACAGATTCGGCATAAATTTTTTTTTCAACTAGACATATTGGTTTTTGCTTTTCTGTCGAATTTCAAACCAATTTTTGTTCGATTTTAGGCCAGAAATCCATCGACAACCTCGCTTTGATATCAAATCTTGCGGAATGAATCTTCATCAATGGATTCCAAGCTCAGATTAAACTTACCAATCTATATATCAACCAACCAACCATAACTTCAAACCCATAACTCAATCTACTTATGGTTGCATTCCTCTTTTCTCAACCATAAAGGGACAACAATATGGTAGTGATTGCAAGCCACAAAGGCAAAAAGGAAGACAAGAAAAAGGCAAGAACTTGAATGAGGTCATAAGAAGAAGCCATTTTTCTCTATTCTTAAACAAGGGCAACACCACATGGCTTTTTGCAAAGGAAATAGGATATATATAGCTTTAGATATGATTCCAATTTGGGCTAAGACACAAAGTAATGTGCCAAGATACAAAGAAGCCTTCTTATAAGTGAACTTGGGCCAAGGAAACATTAAAACCAATTAAGTTGAAACTAGTGACCCACATTGTTTTCAGGTCGAGTGCATGAATCGATAGGTTGATAAATATTTCACTCATTGGTCTCGGCCTATGAAATATAATTCGACTCTATTTAATGTCATTGTCTGGGATTTATTAGGTATCAAAATATCCAACAGGTGCAGACTCATGTTCTCTCCTCTCCTTTGATGGACCCTTATGTGCACAAACAAAGACATCCTTGAAGGACAAATTTTCCCATAAACTCTACAATTCAAAATTTTTTTGTCCCTTTCATCATTTCTTTTGTGCGGTTAATCTTGTTGCTCTATTTATTGGGAAAGGAAAAAGGGAAAAGAAAAAAAAAAAAAAAAAAAAAAAGGGAAAAGAAAAAAAAAAAAAAAAAAAAAAAAAGATTGCAAAATAAAGCTAAGATAAACTGGATGAATCAGGAGGTCCAACAGTATGAGTAAAATTTTCGATTATCTTATTTATTTTTTACTTAGAAGTGGTGGAGATGACGAGTAGAGGCAGTTGGATGGTTTCCATGCATTCTTTAGGTTGTGGGGGGGAACACTTGTGGGACAGGCTTATCCAGAAGATCCTAAGTGCATTTTTTTGTCTTCTCCATGTATTTTTTATTTACCACAATCCGGGCTTCTCCTTTAGAATTGGCTGATTTTACTGGTTTGATTGTTTCTCTCCGTTGATGGAATCTTTGGTCTAAATAGAATAAGTCTATTAGGTAGATTACAAAAGTAGGTAACATTATAAATTTGCTTCCTAATTGTTAGGTTAGAATATTGTTATTTATAGATAGAAATATTCCTAACTACTAGGTTAGAAATCTTCCTATTTTAGATAGTATTTTTAGTCTATAAAGTTGTTGTTCATACCATTCATATACACAGAAATATATAGATTTCTTGCCAATTCTATACGGTATCAAAGCCAAAATTGCTCTAAACCCTAGCTCCAGTCGTCAATTACCCTTTTGCTTCCACCATGTCTGAATGTGCATCAGAATCTACCCCTCCTGCTCAATCACGAACCTTTTCCAAACCAAAAGCTTCCCACATCGACTTACATTCCAGGAAGAAGGGATCAGCTCCAACTACATGTGCTACAATACGGCTAAGGAACTGCGGGATAAAATGAACCGGCCGTATTCTAATATGGGCAATCAATCTCAAATTTATGAGTTGATTATAAAATGTGGTGAGATTAGGTATGAAGAGGACAATGTCACCAAGTATTTCAACTCAGTAGAACGAATTTGGCAGGACATGGACTTGTTCAACGACTATGAATGGAATCCGACTACAAACATTCCAAGAAAGTGGTTGAGGAGAACAGCATCTACAAATTTCTTGCTAGACTTAAATCAGAACTTGATAAGATGAGAGCTGAATAATGAGACGACAACCCCTTCCTCCAATCGGTAAGGTATTTTTTGAAGTTCGAAGAGAATAAACAGGTAGAAACGTCATGCTTGGAAGGACAACAATTACTGGCCTGTGGTTGATTCCCTTGAATAATCAGCTTTGTTGGTCTTTGAGGTTAATACAAGTAAATCTAACTTCAACCAACGATGTACAAATGATCAACCCCATGACTGGTACGATCATTGTAAGTAGCCCTATCATATAAAGGACACATGCTGGAAGATCCATTGCAAACCAGAGAACTGGAAAACCAAGAAATCGAGGAAAAAATCTAGTCGTACATACCTTTTAACAAAAGAGGTCGAGATGAGCCCATTCATCAAAGAGCAACTTGATCAACCTCTGAAACTGCTTACAACAAATTCAGCATTCGGTACTCATAATACCTCTGTAGCTCAAACAGGTAGTAACCATAGCATTCAATCTTGTTCTTTAACCTCTGTACCTTGGATTATAGACTCAGGTACGTTAGATCATATGACCAATTTTTCCATCTATTTCATAGATATTCACCTTGTCCTAGTAATGACAATGTAAGAATAGTAGATGGTAGTTTCTCAGCAATTGTAGGAAAAGGCCATATAAAAATTGCAGAACTTATTAACCTGAAATATGTCCTCCATGTCCTTAAACTCACTTGTACTCTCTTATTTGTGAGAAAATTATCGATCTATTCTAATTGTTGTGTTACCTTTTTTTATTCTCATTGCCTATTTCAGGCTCGAGCTGACGACTGACAGTGCTAGAATAGTGGCTGGTCTTTATTACTTCTATGATAATCTCTCCAGGAATAAAACAACTATAGGCTTAGTGATATGAATTTGACATTTGTCCATGATCAAATCACGCTTTGGTACCTTAGACTACGACATCATAGTTTTCCTTATCTTAGACAATTATTTCCTACTTTACTCAAAAAATATAGATTGTTAATATTTTCAATGCAAAAGTTGTTTGTTAGCGAAAAGTCATCATTCTAAATACATTTCAAAACCTTACCATGCATCAAAACCATTTTATTTAATTCATAGTGATGTTTGGGGTCCATCTAAATTCACTACTCTCCGAAAAAAATGGTTTACAACTTTTACTGACGATCAACACACGCTTATGTTGGGTATATCTAAAGGATAAAAAATCTGATGTAATAAAATTGCTCAAAGATTTTTATACAATGAAATGATTGAAAATCAATTTCAAACAAAGCCTAGTATCTTTTGTATGGATAATGGAACATAATATTTTAATAGATGCTTGGGAACATTTTTAGATGAAAAAAGGTATTTTACATTAGTTCACATGTCATGATACACCTAAACAAAAATGGAATTAATGAAAGAAAAAATAAACATTTGGTTGAAGTAGCAAGTGCAATCATGTTTACCATGCATGTGCCTAAGTACCAATGGGGTGATGCTAGTTTGACATCATCCTATTTGATTAACTGGCAGCTAACATATGTCTTAAACTAATAACACTTTTAGATAGTTTCAAATTTTTTCCCAACATCTAGGATAAATGCAGATCTTCAAATCGAAGTCTTTGTTTGCACCTTTTTTGTTCGTATACCTAGAAAATTTCATTCCAAACTTGATCCCAAATTTGAAAAGTGTATTTTTCTTGGCTATGCCCTAAACAAAAAGGGATACAGGTGTTACAACCCTACAACATAAAAATTGTATGTGAGCATGGATCTATCTTTTTTTGGAAAATCAACCATATTTTACCGAAAATTCTCTTCAAGGAGAGATAGGAATAGTAGAAGAAAATTTTTGGATTATTGACGATCCATTACAAACTACAGATTTAAACTCCCTCATCCGTAGTGTCTCTCAACATGAAATATTTGTTCAAGGTTCTGAAAATAAAGACTTTACTGTTTTCACTTGCCAAACAGAAAAAACATCAAGGACAAGGGGAGAAGTATTGTAATCGAACACTAAATTACTGGTTTATGCTCGACGAGGAACGAAGAATAATAATTCACCAATCATACTAGCACAAGACCAGTTAGAATTGTGGAGCAATGGTCTAGGTAATCATATCCTCTCTCCTTCTGTACCGTTTAATAGTATACCATCTGATCTTGATCTTTTTATAGTAGTTAGGAAAGTGGTTAGAACATGCTCCAACCATCCAATTGCAAAACAATAACCATAGAGCTTTCACTTCTAAGATTATCCACCTGTTTGTTCCAAAAGACATTAAAGAGGCACTAGATGATCCATATTGGACAATGGTAGAAGAGATAAATGCTCTTAAGAGGAGTGGTATTTGGGAAGTAGTTGATTTATTGAGAGATAAAGATAAGAAGACTGTAGGATGTAAATATGTGTTCACAGTTAAGTGTAGAGCGGAGGGTAGTATAGATAGATACAAAGCAAGACTCGTGGCTAAAGGATTTACATAGACATATGGAACAGATTACCATGAAACATTTGCCCTAGTAGCCAAGATAAACTAAATCTGAGCCTTGCTATCCTTAGTAATGAACTCCAACAGGTTTTACACCAGTTAGATGTAAAAAAGTGCATTCTTAAATGGAGATTTGGAGTAAGATATGCCTACCACCTGGTTTTGAAGCAAAGTTTGGCCAAGAAAAAAGTTGCAAATTAAAGAAGACATTATATGTTCTTAAACAATCTCCCAGAGCGTGGTTTGAACATATAGGGATAGGATAAAAAGACATGGTTACTCTCAAAGTTAGGTTGATCACACTATGTTCTATAAGCTCCGAGAATGGGTAAAGTTGCTATCCTAATCATCATTGTAAATGGCATTATCTTCGAGTTGTTGAAACTAAAGAAAAGTTTTACTAATGATTTTGAGATCAAAGACTTTGGTCCATTGAAGTATTTCCTTGGTATGGAGTTTGCTATATCAAAAGCAAGATATTTATTAGTTAACATAAGTATGTATTAGATCTACTTGATAGAACGGGGTTATTTGGCTGCAAACCTGCAGAAGCACTATGTGAAATAAATGTGAAGCTACATAGATAAGCAAGATATTTATTAGTTAACATAAGTATGTATTAGATCTACTTGATAGAACGGGGTTATTTGGCTGCAAACCTGCAGAAGCACTATGTGAAATAAATGTGAAGCTACATAGATAAGTTGGGAGATTGATTTATTTGTCACTCACTCAGCGGATATAACAGTTGCAGTGAGTTTGGTTAGCTAGTTCATGCACTCATAGTGTCCAGAAAGCTTTGAAGCTACTTACAAAATCCTAAAGTATCTGAAGGAGACTCTTGCAAAGAGAATACTATATCAAGGACATGGACATTAACAGTTGGAAATCTACACCGATGTAGATTGGCTGGGAGTACAACAGAGAAAAGATCAACTTTAGGTTATTGCACATTTGTCGGTGAGAATCTTGTCACATATCATAGTGAAAAACAAAATGTGGTGCTTAGACGTAGTGTAGAAGCTAAATACAGATCCGTTGCTCAAGGCCATGTGGATTAGAAAACTACTAGAAGATTTGAAGTTTTCCAACTCCTTACCAATAATGGTCTACTATGATAACAAAGTAGTTGTTGCAATTACTCACAATTCCGTTCTTCATGATAGGACAAAATATGTGGAAGTTGACAAACACTTCATCAAAGAAAAGATTGAGAGTGGTCCAATTTTCATGCTTCCAACCAATGATTAGATTGCAAATATACTTACAAAAGGATTGCCTAAGAAAAAATTCGACATCTTAGTTGGCAAGTTGATATAAATAGAATAAGTCAATTAAATAAGCGAAAGTTGGTAACATTATCAATTTGTTTCCTGATTGTTAAGTTAGTATATTGTTATTTATAGATAGGTTAGTAATCTTCATATTTTACCCCAATAATTAAATGATTTGCTAATACATAACTATATATTTTCTATTTTACCCCCAATAATTAAATAATTTATTGTATATCATATTTGCATGTCAGAACATGTTAAGTGCAAACTTTGTGTTCCAAGTCTATAGCGTCCCAAAATTTTATAGTATAAAATTATTTAGTGGTAAGGATTTTGATCTAAGCATATTTTGTTAATATTGAAATGTTGAGGGACGAAAGTGAAAAAAATATTAATTCCTTTTATTTGGGCCAAATAATTAGCTTTTGATAGATCGAAGATAAGTATATCGATATTGGACTATCGTTGTAGCTCATAATTAATTAGGAGTCTTGATCTAAGAAAAATTGTTTGTGATTAGATTACATCAAGTTAAATTCTATTAAAAACCCTGTTTGATCCACATTCTTTCTAAAAAATATATTCTTAAACAATGATTTGACATTATTTAAACCGCATATTCTTTAATAAAATAATATTACACACAAATTTTAAATGTTTATTTTTTAACCGCACATTTTTCATCAATACAATATTAAAAAATACATTTTTATGGAAATAATGTGGCTTAAACAAGGGCTAAAAGAATATAAGAGTTTGTTTGATACAAGCCAATTAGATTAAAAATGGACCGCCCAAATATCTTGTTTGATAGGCAAAATTTTCCATGAAATGGGTTTTTCACCCTAATCCCCCTTCCCCCCCAACCCCCCCCCCCCCCCCCACACACACACACACACAACCCTTGATTTTTAAAGAATTTGTTTTCCTTTGGTTTTGATGAAAGTATTTTCCACCTTTTTATTTTTTATTTTTATTTTTAGCAATCAATTGTAACAAATTTTATTCTTTTAATTGACAATTTTCATGAAATACAAAGCCAAATGAATGCCACAAAATTCAAAATTTCAACATTTTCCAAATGAAAAATTATACCAATAAACACATTTAATTGACAATTCTCAATAAAAACAAGTTCTTGGTAATTCAATTCTCTGAAATTCGTTTTCTTTCCATCCAAATTTCATTTTTGCAATCAAACGGATCCTAAGGTTAAATGTGTTGCAAGGAATTTGAAATATTATTCAAAACACAACTTTTCATCCTTTTAGCCTTGCCACGTGAGTTGTTGATATGAAAACTTTACTTGAATAAATTCAAATTCTATATTTTGAAACCAATTCTTATTCAAATTCCTTATATTACACAGTATTTTAATTCTAGTTGCATACAAATTCAACTAAAAATTTTAACTATAAATATTGTAAAAATTTTCATTATTTCACCATAGAAAATAAAGAGAGCCATGGTAAAGAGAGAGAGAGAGAGAGAGAGAGAGAGAGAGAGAGAGAATGAAAGGAAAAAGTATAAAAAAATAATAGGAAAATTTTTGTGTGCAAGATTTTTTTTTCCCTACCTTTCAAAATTAGGTTAAGATACTTTTGTACAAGTGGTTTGTTTTCATATACTTTTATATTCAGTAATTTATGCATGAATTGCTAGTGGACTTTCAGGTTCGACCTAATGAAATGTGAATTCTATTGGGTTCTTTATAACAAAATGTGAAATCTTTCAGAAATTTAAAATACTATTGACGGATGTCTCGCTTGATCATTGATATACTTCATAAGAAACGTGGTATGAAGTGTATATTTTATTATTATATAATTGTGTATGGAATCTATACATATTTTACTTATGATTTTTAAATACTCACTCTTATTACAATTTTACAAGTTAGTTCGAATGGATTAGATTCGTGGTAGAATGATGATGCGGGCTTTCAGTGGATTAAAGGAAAATAAACATTATGTTTTTCTGTCATTCAATTTATCAGTTAGTTTAATTCATTCAATGTTATTTAATTAGTTAAGTGGTCATTTTTTTATGTACATTTTCCATGTTTTGGTTTAAATTTTACTGATATTCCGGTTATTTTTATTAAAGAATTGTATTTTATCATTTCACCTTTAATACAAAGAAAAGTGAATTTTTTATAACACTTCAAAATTTATGAAAATTTGGAGTTTTACAAAAATAATGCCACTAACTGAACACAGCTCAACACAAGAACACATTAATTCAAAGCCTAATTAAATAAAGTTGCAATGCAGATAAAATCCATAAATTGCTCCAATCGAACTATTCAATTCTAGTTCAGCCAACTGAACACTACCTTCAGCAGGACGCAAGCTACAGCTGGTTCTGTGAGCTTTTCAACCATTTTCTCCGCCTCTGTTTCCGATTAACCAGTTAGTGAAGACAATTTCTTGGTGCTTTTTGAAGAACTCCTACTCTTTGATTTTCATGATTTCATTGTTGTGATTAGCTGCTATGGCATGACAATCTTCTTGCCGGGCCTTACACTTGGCCATTTGCAATTTAAAAATTTAAGTTTCTTTACTTTGATCATGGTACAACTCCAAGCAGCCATTTTAAATTGGAACCACTAATAAGGTTACCACTTGAAACGCCTTCTAAAACATCAATTATAAGTGGTTGGCCAACAATTGTTTTACCAATTAATGCACACTTGTTTACATTTATATTTTCAAAGTAAATTGCACATACTAGACATACATTAACCACTTTCTTTCCACTTCTTTTCCTCTAAACTTTCTCCATTTCCTCCTCTCAAACCATCATTTAAAGGAGTCGTTGATGTCATTAATTCGAAAGTCTTTACTATTCTTGTTCTATCATTAGATGTCGGAGCTTCAAGTAAGGGGGTGCTTAAAAATTTTGGTAAGCCATCATAATCTTTAGTTGGCGGGTGAGAATTATGAAGCTGTGTGCAGCTCGCTTCGTTCAATTGACATTATCAACCGCATCAGTGTACTAGGAGGAGGTGGCGCTTGTGCATGTTACGTGCAGGCACAACGTGCGTGCCCTATATCTGCCAGTAAACAAATAAATTTCTCAGATATATAGTAAATTCTATGACTGAAAAAAGTAACTTCTAAAAATTATGTTGTAGGCAACAAATAAATTTCATGCACAACCAAATATAATTTCACCTCTAATGAGAGTATATAAAAGATCAATGGACCTAAAAACTTCATATTATCATCTGTTTCAACCCAGCTGACATTGTTCCTATTTGATGGTTTTTCTTGTAGTGATGAGATTAGATTAGATGGTTTAATATGTTTTGTATGGGATAATTTTGAAGGTAGAAAATAGTTGGCTTTTTGTTGGAAGTTAGTAGTATGGAAGATTTTGATAGAAAGTAACTTAATAGACATAGAAAGTAACTTAATAGACAATGTGGGTAGGAGAAAAGAACTTTATTAGAATGATAATGTCTTAGTTTTGGCTTGCTTTGACTTACAATGACTTTTGCTTACTTACCAATGAGAGACGCATGCCCTATTTATAGACCGTAGCTTACATCAATTTGTGGTTAATATGATTTCTTCTAGATAATTTTACATGTGTCTAAATACAAGCCACACTAACTTTCTTGGTGCCAAAGTTTCTCTAGTGAATTCTAAATAATTTTATTTTTTATTATTCTTACTTGTCAAGCAATTCTAGGATCTTCTAGAAAATTCTTAAAATATGCATCAACCATCAATACTCCTCCTTGATACATATTTCGGTAACTCCAATCATTTCTAGTATTATTTAGAACTTTGCTCATGGTAGCGCCTTTGTGAATATATCTGCCAATTGTTATTCACTCTTGCAATGCTTGAACTCTATCTCTTTATTTGCTTCAGTTTCTCTGATGAAATGGTACTTGGTGCCAATGTGTTTGGTTATGCTGTGGAATAAAGGATTCTTGGCCATTGATATTGCTGACTTCGTGTCGCAGTAGATCTCTGTTGCTTCATTTTGTAGTTTTCCCATGTCTTCAAGTATATGTTTTGACCATATAGCTTGACTCGTTGCCATTGCTGTTGCAATATACTCTGCTTCAACTGATGATTATGCAATCGTTGCTTGTTTTTTGATGCCCAAGGTAATATTTCGGAACTTAGTGTGAATGCGTAGCCTGATTTGCTCTTTATATCATCTACTAATCCTGCCCAATCACTATCAGTATACCCAAGTAGTCTTGAGTCAGGCGTAGACTTATACCTTATTCCATAGTCTTTTGTTCCTTGGAGGTATCTTAGTATCCATTTTGCAGCACCATTGTGAACTTGACTTGAATTTTGCATGAATTTCGAAAGTAGGCTGGTTGCATATGTTTGGTCTTGTAGCAGTGAGATAGAGCAAACTTCCAATTAAGCTTCTAAATTGTGAGTTATCTGATTTTGGACTGCTGTCTTCTTTTCTGAGAGATTTATTGCTATCCAAGGGTGTTGATACTCTTTTGCAACCTTCCATCTCGAATTTCTTTAATAAACTAGTGGTATACTTCTTCTGAGCAATAAAAATCCCATCTTCGGATTGAGATATCTCAATCCCAAGAAAATATTGCATTAATCCTAGATCAGTCATCTCGAACGTTTTCATCGTATCTTCCTTGAATTTCTTGATCACCTTCTCATCATTCCCTGTATAGATGAGATCATCAACATATAAAGAGATTATAAGTGTACTGCTTGTACCTTGATTTTTGATGTATATAGTTGGTTCACTTTGGCTCCTCTTGAATCCTTGCTCAGTGAAGTAAT